TCATCATCATCATCATCATCATCATCATCACCAACACCACCACAATCATCATCATCATCATCATCATCATCATCGTCATCGCCATCATCATCATCATGAGAATCATCATCATCACCACCATCATCATCATCATCATCATTATCATCATCATCAACATCATTACCGTCATCAACCTCTTCACTATCATCAGGGAGGTCTGAACTTGCGCGGGGAGTGAACTCCACCTGCTGTGGGCGAGTATGTTTTGAGGATCTCTCGAGCGAAACGCTTACTTTTGAACAAAAGTATTCAACAAAAAACAAATGGTGTTTCAATGATGTTGCCTTTGGGACCATCTTGAAGGTCCTCCAAGAGCATCCCCCAAAAATGCCGTACAACAGCTACTTCGGCATCTCATGTTTCGAGGATGTCTCATGCGAAATCGACATGTTCGAAAATCCGAAGGTTTCACCAACGATTTCAACATCTCAATTTTCTGAGGATGTCTCCAGCGAAACGCTCAGTTTTGCATAAGAGGTCTGAAAGCAGCTTTTTCGACATCCCACTGTTTGAGGATGTCTCAGGCGAGAGCCCCATTTTCGAAGATTCGAAGATTTCGCGACCGATTTCAATATCCTGGTTGTTTGAGGATGTCTCAGGCGAAATCGTCATTTTTAGCATAAAATGTCTTAAACGATAGCCTCCAACATCTCCATTGTGTGAGGATGTCTCAGGCGAAGTGGCCATTCTGGGGAACCTATCTTGACATGAACGGGAAGCGCGTGAAATCGAAGAGCCTGGCAAGAACGCGCACCAACATTGATGTCGCATGTCGCCTAGGCGCTCTTCCCGACCGCGCACAAGGGGTACCAGGTGGAGTTCACTACCCGCGCAAGTTCAGACGTGGCCCTCACCCGAACTCCCTAAAATATACCAGATAGGGTTCCCTAGCCGCGCAAGATGAGACTTTGCTCTACACTGATATCCAAGAGGGTTTTGCTTCTCCAACGTAGATCTATACAACCTACTGGAAAGCGAAAGTGGCGACACAGCAAAACCTAAAGAGCAGCGAACCACCTCAGAAATGAAGGCGGCGCTGGAGGCGGACAAACTGTTACAAAGCCGGCCTCCCTGACCCAGATACCTCCAAGACGGTGCAAGAGGCTCCAAAGAAACCCCACAAGCGTTCCAAGAAGACGCCGAAGAGGGCCCAAAGAGGCAAACATCTTTGCTTTACACTGATATCCAAGAGGGTTTTGCTTTCTCTAACGTAGATCTATACAACCTACTGGAAAGCGAAAGTGGCGACACAGCAAAACCTAAAGAACAGTGAACCACCTCAGAACTGAAAGCGGCGCTAGAGGCGGACAAACTGTCACAAAGCAGGCCTCCCTGACCCAGATACCTCCAAGACGGTGCAAGATGCTCCAAAGAAGCCCCACAAGCGTTTCAAGAAGACCCCGAAGAGGGCCCAAAGAGGCAAACATCATTGCTTTACACTGATATCCAAGAGGGTTTTGCTTTCTTTAACGTAGATCTATACAACCTACTGGAAAGCAAAAGTGGCGACACAGCAAAACCTAAAGAACAGTGAACCACCTCAGAACTGAAAGCGGCGCTGGAGGCGGACAAACTGTTACAAAGCCGGCCTCCCTGACCCAGATACCTCCAAGACGGTGCAAGAGGCTCCAAAGAAACCCCGCAAGCGTTCCAGGATGTCTCAGGCGAAATCGACCTTTTCGAAAATCCGAAGGTTCGCCAGCGATTTCAATATCTCAATTTTTCTGAGGATATCTCAGGCGAAAGGCTCATTTGTCAAACAAGAGGTCTTAAAGCAGTTTTTTTCAACATCCTATTGTTTCGAGGATGCCTCAGGTGAGAGCAACCACCTCAGAACTGAAAGCGGCGCTGGAGGCGGACAAACTGTTACAAAGCCGGCCTCCCTACCCAGATACCTCCAAGACGGCGCAAGAGGCTGCAAAGAAGCCCCAGAAGCGTTCCAAGAAGACCCCGAAGAGGGCCCAAAGAGGCAAACATCTTTGCTTTACACTGATATCCAAGAGGGTTTTGCTCTCTCTAACGTAAACCTATACAACCTACTGGAAAGCAAAAGTGGCGACACAGCAAAACCTAAAGAACAGTGAACCACCTCAGAACTGAAAGCGGCGCTGGAGGCGGACAAACTGTTACAAAGCCGGCCTCCCTGACCCAGATACCTCCAAGACGGCGCAAGAGGCTGCAAAGAAGCCCCAGAAGCGTTCCAAGAAGACCCCGAAGAGGGCCCAAAGAGGCAAACATCATTGCTTTACACTGATATCCAAGAGGGTTTTGCTCTCTAACGTAGATCTATACAACCTACTGGAAAGCGAAAGTGGCGACAAAGCAAAACCTAAAGAACAGTGAACCACCTCAGAACTGAAAGCGGCGCTGGAGGCGGACAAACTGTTACAAAGCCGGCCTCCCTGACCCAGATACCTCCAAGACGGTGCAAGAGGCTCCAAAGAAACCCCGCAAGCGTTCCAGGATGTCTCAGGCGAAATCGACCTTTTCGAAAATCCGAAGGTTTCGCCAGCGATTTCAATATAGCATTTTTTCTGATGATGTCTCAAGCGAAAGGCTCATTTGTCAAACAAGAGGTATTAAAGCAGTTTTTGTTCAACATCCTATTGTTTCGAGGATGTCTCAGGCGAGAGCCCCATTTTTGCAGATCCGAAGATTCCCCGACCGATTTCAGTATTCCCATTTTGTGAGGATGTCTCAGGCGAAATCGTCATTTGTAACATTAAAAGCCTTAAGCGATAGCCTCCAACATCTCCATTTTGTGAGGATGTCTCAGGCGAAATGGCCATTCTGGGGAACATCATCATCACCATCGTCATTACTGTCATCATCAGCGGCGCCGTCATCGTAATCTCATGTTTCGAAGACCCGTCCGAGAACAATGTTTTGAGGATGTCTCGAGCGAAACGCTCACTGTTGAAGAAACGTATTAAAAAACAATTGTTTTTCAATGATTTCGCTTTCTGGACCATCTCAGAGGTCCTCCAAGAACACCCCCAAAAGATGCTGTACAGCAGCTACTTCAACATCATTTTTTTGGAGGATGTCTCATGCGAAATCGACATGTTCGAAGATCCGAAGGTTTCGCAAGCGATCTCAACATCTGAATTTTCTGAGGATGTCTCAAGCGAAACGTTAATTTTTGGCATAAAAAGTATTAGAGCAGCTTTTTCGACATCCCACCTTTTTCGAGGATGTCTCAGGCGAGAGCCCCATTTTCGAAGATCCGAAGATTTCGCGTCCGATTTCAACATCCGCATTTTGTGAGGATGTCTCAGGCGAAATCGTCATTTTTAACATAAAACGTCTTAAACGATAGCCTCGGACATCTCCGTTTTGTGAGGATGTCTCAGGCGAAATGGCCATTCTGGGGAACCCGCCTGGGTCTGACCACGGAGCAACCCCGAGCCCTTCCCCTCCTGGACCTCCCCAGTTGATAATATTTCCCTCCGGGTCTACAGCAACGTCCATCGCGCGACTCTTCGAGTCTAAGCGCGCTTCCCGTCATCCGCCAGGTTCGAATAAAGGAGCAATCCCGAGCCCTTCCCCCCTCTGCACTCCCCCCAATTGATAATATTTCCCTCCGGGTCTGCAGCAACGTCCATCGCGCGACTCTTCGAGTCTAAGCGCGCTTCCCGTCATCCACCAGGTTCGAATAAAGGAGCAATCCCGAGCCCTTCCCCTCCTGGACCTCCCCAGTTGAATTTCCCTCCGGGCCCACACCAACGTCCATCGCGCGACTCTTCGAGTCTAAGCGCGCTTCCCGTCATCCGCCAGGTCCCTGACCACGAGGCGGCGCCGCACGTTCCCCCTCCAGACCTCCCCCTGATACATAAATCCCTCTGGGCAAACAGACGTCCATCGCGCGACTCTTCGAGTCTTGGCGCGCTTCCCGTCATCCGCCAGGCTCTGTATCACGAGGCGGCCCCGCACGTTCCCCCTCCAGACCTCCCCCAGTTGATAAGTAAATCCCTCTGGGCAAACAGACGTCCATCGCGCGACTCTTCGAGTCTCGGCGCGCTTCCCGTCATCCGCCACCGTGCCAGTGGCACGCTCAGCCACGCTAGAATGCTTGTCGATTGTCGATTGTTGTTGTAATCCCGACCCCGCCCCCCTCGTCGGAACCTGGGCCCGATCCTCCCCCCCCCTCTGAAATTGTCATCTGGCACCCTGCTCGGCCTCCAGACGGTTCCAAGATGCTGGACAGGCGCCTGCCTGAAGCCTATCCAAAGACGACCCAACGAGCCCCAAATCGTCCAATGGTTCCCCATGAGACCATAAGAACCCTCCAACGAGACGGCCAAAGAGACCTCCAGCGAGGCCCGAAGAGGCAAATCACTACACAAGGACGGAAACAAGTCACAGACATTTGCAGATGCTTGCCTCCGAAGCGTTGCGACTGAGAGCCCCAAGAAACCCCAAATGTGTCCCACGATGCCCTCAAGACGGCGCGACACCCTCCAAAGTGGCTCAATAATACCCCAGGATGGCCTCAACAACAGCCCTACGACCCACTCCGACGGTTCCCAAGATGGCCCAGCCAGAGCCTCTTCGGGAGGGTTGGGTGGAACCACGGAACACAAGACGGCGTCGAGACCCCACGGAGGCCCCGAGCAGACCCCCAAAGGCGGCCGAAAGACACCTCAGAGGCCCCCAAGATGCTGCAGACCAGACACCAGTGTGCCTTCACGGGGGAGGAGGGAGATGGATGAGGACGAGGCCGCGGGCAAGGAGGGGGCGGCCAAGCAGGAGCGAGTCTTCAACTAAAGCTGCGTCTCAGAGGGCTGCTGCGCTGGCACGGTGGAAAGGCAGGCGACCTTGGGAAACACCCACCAGCACCTTGCGTGCTGGGCCGAACGCCGCACTAGAGAACGACTTGCCAACTCATCCCCTCACGAAGTACAGTTGCTGCCAGGCTACCTGCCTGGCAGACGAGAGGCGCACAACCAAAAGAAGCGTTCCTCCATACTGCCAGCCCGTCCTCAAACATGGGCATCGTTGCCTTCAGATCCTCTGGTAAGTCGCTTTCTTCGTAGGTTTGCGGCCACGTCCTAGCAACGTTGCGAATAACAGTGGTAAAATAGTAGACACACAGTGATCAGCGATAGCGACATGACATCATGAACGGATAATAATGGAGCAAAGCGGATAAGAAATGCATATGAGCTTTCCCAACTGCTGCGTGGCAACCAGAACCATCGAGCGCGCTTCGCGCGCCCAAGTTCTGGCTAGCTTGTGAACCAAACCAGCGCGAAAGAAGGACCGTGCCATACTGCTCCAGATCCGCAGGGTGTCGATTGCATTTTAGGGTAATGTTGGGGTTGGGACCTGTGCTGACGCTATATGGCCTCTCCCAGGGACGCCACGGAGCTTTTCCAGCCGAAAGACTGGATATCACAGGACTCGTACTCGTCAAATAAAGTCTGAATGCTTCTGAAGGTCCTTTCGGTGTATGGTACATGTCAATGACATCCTGAAGGAAGGAGGCCAAGGCTGTAGACACGCAGAAAGCCCCCGTGGCCGACAATCAATGAGAAGCTCGCTCAACTGCGATCAAGTTCCAGGGGGCTGCCTTAGGCTGTCTTGGGAATGTTTCGGAGTTCCTCGTGGGGTTGGGGGGGGCGGCTAGAACTAGAAGGGGCCCGACGTATGAGACCACGGCATTTGCTCTGCCAAGGAGCTTGGTGCATAGACGCCCTGCGGCCCAAGCTGATGTGCCTGTACACAGAATTTCCATTTCCTTGCACCAACCTTTGACCCGCCAGACGACGTGGTGCACACAGCAGAAGCATGGCCACCAGAAGGCACCCTCCTTGGCGAAGAGCCCAAACACGAAACACATAACGGTGCCCATCCAAACCTAAGGGCCGTTCTTCTAGAAGCCCGAAGGGCAACACACGCAGAATGAATGCTGGGAGGTCCGCGCAGATTTCTAGGGTCGGCGCTCAGTCCCCTCCCCTGGAGCGCGAAGCCCGCCAAAAGGTGCCGCCCGAGCGGGGGCCAACGCCGATCCAAGAACAATCCGCGTGGACCTCCGACAGTTCACGACTGTGCAGCTTATGTTGCTGCCCCCCCTACATCAACCCTCGGGCCAACTGTACGCTGAACATCCCCCCCCTGAACACGGGCACCCGCAAGCGCCAGGGCGCCCAGCCGACGCCAGCGCTGACAGCGCCGATGGCGCCGAGAACGCGAGCCGACGCCGACCAACAATGCACGCCATCAGCGCACTTAGAGGCCGAGGGTGAAAAAACTCTAGGACACCCGACTTCGCACCCTTGCGCATCTGAGGAGAGAACAGGGTACCGATGCCGCTACTCCACAAGTTCTCTCCCGGGGTACGTTCAGACCAAACTTCCGAGGCGAATTCGGCTGTGGCGACGACGGAAGGATACCAGTATCTCGGCGGCGCGCCTGGGGGGGAAATGAGAAAGAGAAGGCCTTCTCAGAAGGCTCGTAAGTCTCCCGGCCCTATGAGAAACTTTCGAAGCCTCCCCCGAGGACGCCGAAAGCCTCTCAGATGGCCGGAGGCCTTCTCACTTCCCCACTCCTCGCTCGCCGCCGGGCATCGGCAGGTTCTCCTCCTCGGAGCATCGTGCCCCGCGACACGCGGTCATCCCCGTGCCCTCGCGGGGCCGCCGTGGAGAGGAGCAGCCCTCCCGCCGGGGCCGCGGCGACGCGAGGCGCCCTCCCAGTGGGGGGCGGTGGCCCGGAGAGCCTCGGGATCGAGCAGAACGGTTGCGCGCTCGCCGCCGCTGCGCTCTCTGGGCGTGGCGGCGGGAGGCCCGAGGGCCTCTCCGGGCGAGGTCGCGGGGGTTTGGGAGGGGGGAGCGCTGCCAAGGAGTCTGTCGGGCCCCCCTTCTCGCCAGTTTCGGGCCCCGCGGAGGGAGGAGACGGGAAGTGGGGGCGAGAAGAGGGGAGGGCGAGCGCCAAAGGGGGGGAGGGGGGCGAGGAAGGGGAGTGATACGAGGGGGAAGTGGTGAGAAGTGAGGGGCACATTGGTGGAAGAGCAACGCGCGAGAGGCAGACGGAAAATAAAACGGGAGCTGGAGGAAGAGGAGGAGGAGGAGGAGAATGAGCCAATGAGGAGAAGAGGGGAGAGAAGGAGGAGGGGTAACGACCAGGACGATGGGGAGAAAGTGTGCTCTCCACCAGGTGTGGCAGGAACTTCGGAGCAAGCGTGCACGGTGTCCAACAAATGCAAAGCCATATGCCACACTATGACAACTGCTCTGAAATTGCACCCAGAGAAACGCAAGCGGTGCCTGTACCGAAATGAAGAGAATGCGGCGTCGAAGGCACCAACGAGCCCTTCGTGCTTCCAGGGCGTCATGTGGTGCAGGAAACCATTCTGGAGATCTCGGTTTCCATATGTGTGTGCACGTGCGTATACAGCATTATGAAAACATGCAAATAATCTGTACACATGGTCGCAATCGCGCCGCGAAGCACTCAGTGGAGTGTCCAAGGGTCCCTCTGAACCCTCAATAAGAATCGTACAGGGGCCGACCGCAATCATGTTTAAACGAAAGTGCGATTCACACGAAACAAACAACAACACACAGCGTTTGAAACGAACGTTCAAGCCGAAACTTGTGCCGAACGAAACTAGCAACGGCACGGGGCATTTGACATAACAATGAAAAACTAAACGAAACAACAACGACCACAGAAACGAACAACAAACCGAGGCCCAAACCAAGCCAAACAGCGTTGTGGTCGATCCTTGAAGCAATGAGCACTCTGCAATGGGGCCACAATCCCCGTATTCCAAGCGCTCTTTGGGGCTTGGCGCATGTTCCCACGTGACGTTCCCGACACGGGCCCAGAGAGCTCCAATAGGCCCACAAGACGGTCCAAAAAGGCCCCGAAACTGCTCAAGCGCGCTCCGAAACGCCCAAGATGGCCTCAAAGCTGCCCTGACTCCCCGAGGGGGCTTCGAGAGGCCCCCCAAGAGGGAGCCCACGAAGCATGAAATCATTGACTCCCCATACTGGTTGAAGAGATCTTAGCGTTTTCGCCGTTTCTGTCGTCCGACGTCGCTCCAAGGCGGCCCAAGAAGCCTCCAAAATCGCCCCAAGACGCCCCAAGACAGCCCAATAGGGCCTCAAGCCGGACCCAAATACGGTCCAAGAGGGTCCCAAGAAGGGGAACTCGAATTAATAATTCAAGTCCCCCGCCCCAAGATGATCCCCGAGACCGCAAGCAGGCCCCCAAGAGGCCCCCGAGCAGCCCTCTGGAGACCCCCAAGAGGCCCAAAGGAGGCCCAATAGAGGCCCCCGAGCCACCTCCGACAGGCTTGCGAGGCCTCCCCCCGTCCGAACCCGCTGGCTGTACCACTATAACAAGGTGCTTGTGTCGGATTCGCCTCGTGATTCGCACGATGTGGCTCATCAGCTTATTCTTGTAGACAGGTAACGTATGGAAGCGTGGGATAAGAGATAATATCAGAATATGTTCTAAACATGCTCGGGATGCTTTCTTGGAGATATTAGACACATGTTCGAAATATGCTCGAATTATGTTCGGAAATCGTGACGCCGCCGACTGCAGGGTGGTCGTATAGCGTCCGCCACCCATTTCGGCGGGAGTCGTCGTCGTCGTCGTAGTCGTAGTCGTGGGAGTCGGAGTTGGAAACGTCGTCGGAGCCGTCGTCGGAGTCGAAGTCTCGGAGTCAGAATCGGAGTCAGAGTCGACTTCGTCGTCGTCGTCGTCAGCGTCGGCGTCGTCGTCGTCATTGTCGTCGGAGTCGTCGGTGCCGTCGTCGTCGTCGTCGTCGGAGTCGTCGTCGTCAGAGTCGTCGTCGAAGTCGGAATTGTGGTCGACGTCGTCGGAGTGGTCGTCGGAGTCGTCGAAGTCGCCGAAGTCGTCGTCATGGGTGTCGTCATCGTCGTCGTCGTCGGGAGTCGGAGCCAGGGTCGGGGACACCATCGTCATCGTCGTCGTTGTGGTCGTCGTCGTCGTCTCGTCGTCATCCTCGTCGTCGGAGTCGGAGTCGTCGAAGTTGTTGTCGTCGTCGTCGTCATCGTTGTCGTCGTGGTTCGTCGTCGTCGTCGTCGTCTTCGCCGCCGCCGCTGCCGGCGTCGTCGTCGTCGTCGTCGTCGCCAACGTCGTCGTCGTTGTCATCATCGTCGTCGTGGTCGTCGTCGTGATCGTGGTCGTCGTCGACGTCGTCGACGTCGTCGTCGTCGTCGGAGTCGTCCTCGTGGACGTCGTCGGAGTCGTCCGTCGTCGGAGTGGGAGTCGTCTTCGTCGTCGTCGAAGTCGTCGTCGGAGTCGTCTTCGTCGTCGTCTTCGTCGTCGGAAAGGAGGCAGAGGCGGAATCGGAGTCTTCGTCGCCTTCGTCGTCGTCGTGCGTCGTCGGAGTCGTCGTCGTCGTCGTCGTCGTCGTCATTGTCGTCGCCTTTGTCGTAGGAATCGGAATCGTCGTCATCGTCGTCGTCGGAAACGCCGGAATCGTCGGAAATGAATCGGAATTGTCGGAATCGTCGGAGTCGGAATCTTCGGAGCCGGAGCCGGAGCCTGATTCGTCGCCGTCGCCGTCGTCGTCGCCGTCGACGTCGTCGTCGTCGTCGGTTTGGGTCCCCGGAGACCTTCGCACCCAGGAGGTCCCCGAGAGGCCCACGAAAGGCCCTCAAGAGGCCCCAAGAGGCCCCGAAGAGACCCAAAAGAGACCCCAAGAGGCCCCAAAACGGCCCCCAAGAGGCCTGCAAAGTGCTGCCCAGAGGCCTCCCCTGCCAGGAGACCCCCAAGGGATCGGCGGCGCGGCGTAAGCCCAAGAACCATTCTAGAATCACTCGTCTCGAAACCGTCCAACTCCCTCCGACGAGGACGACGACGGACGACGGACGACGGAAACGGACGACGACGAACGACGAACGACGAACACGAGGAGCGACGAAAGACGACGACGACAGACGAACGACGAATGACGAGGGCAACGACGAACGACGAACGACGAACACGACGAGCGACGATGATAAACGACGACACCATTGAATACGATATCGAAGCTAGGGATACATCACGCACTCGCGCGAAACCGTGATCAACATATGCTTCAAATTGAAGCCATATGCAATACAATGGCACTTGCAAATCACTTATAAGTCGTAGTTGTTCGGAACATCTTCGAAACATATTTGGTTTACTTGTGTTTGAGGAACACCCGTGAACCGAACATAGAACGAACATATGCCGAACATCTCAGTAACAACCCACGAAAATAACGACTTCGAACATCTCAGAGAACTAGGGGAACGAAGCATGACATAAACATAGAAACTGATCGGTCCGCGCAGATTTCTCGGATCGGCGCTGGGGCCCCTTGGCGGCGCCTCCGACGCCGCCCCTGGCGCGCTCCGCGCGCCAGGAGGGGGGTCCAGTGCCGATCCGAGAAATCTGCGCGGACCTCTCAGTTTTTATGTTTCTGTCATTTTTCTTTCCCATAAAAACACACACAAACACACACACACACACACGCACACACACACACACAGACACACACACACACACGCATCGTGCTCAGTTCCATATGGGGCCAACTAAAATTTGATTCATAATACCTGTCTTCATGAATTCATTCATCACGAAACGATTCCCAACTATCCTGGTGTTGGGTCCTCGTTTTTAATGAAACAGCGCCCCGCGGTTCTCCTCCTTTTCCTCCTCTTCTTCCTCCTCACTCCTCTCCGCATATCACCACCCGTCATCACCACCGTCATCGTCATCATCACCGTCGCCATCACACAAACATGTCAACACACCCCTCACACGTATCGTGGCCCCATCGGGAACTCGACCGAAGTCCCCAATGGATGCGGCCGCCTGCGTCCGCCGCAGTCATTTCGGCACACCTCTGGCGTGTGAGTTTCAAAGGCCCTCGAAACAACCTGAGGCTCAATTACTGAGCTTCAACTCTACCGGGGGTGGGTGCCGGGGTGGCTCTGCCGGAGAGGGTGAGAGGGGGCGTCGAATTAATTCCCGGGGCGGAATCGGAGCTCCAGCTCACTCCGGGACGGCCCCCTCTCGCCCAGGAGGGCCCCAACATGGGCCAAGAGGGCCCCTGGTCGCCGAACGATCGCTACAAAACGCCCACAAGACGGCTCCAGAAGCCTCCACAATGCCCTCAGAAGCCATGAAACGGCCTCCAAAAAAAGGCCCCCGAACAACAAACAAATGTCTCATTTCACATGGGAAACGTTAAATTTTATCATTTTTGCTTCTTGGGCCGCCAGAGCGTCGCAGACGCCCCAAGAGAGCACCAAAACGGACCAAAAAAAACGCCATGAGGGCTCCGAGATGGCCCAAGAAGAGCCCAAGATGGCCCTGGAGGCCCCCTGAAAAGGCCCAAGAGGGCCCCAGGACGAGCCCAAGAGGCGCCTGAGAGGGCGCCAAGGCGCCGAAAGAAGCGCCGATGACAGCCAAAGGAGCCCCCAACAGGCCCCCAGAGGCCCCCAAGAGGCCTGAAGAGGCCCCAAGACGCTTCCAACTTGCCCCGAAGAGGCCCCCTGAAGCCCCCGAAAGGCCCCCAGGAGTCCCAGAAAATGTCCCAAGACGCCTTCTAGAGGCCTCCAAGCTGCCTCCCAGACCCCCCACCCCGAGAAGCCCAAAACCGGCCCCAATGCATCCGCAGCGCTTACGTCTGAACGCAAGCGCTGCAACACAAAAGGTTCTTTCACGCTTTCACATCTTCGCCCGTCTTCGATGTCCTTCACATCCATGATCCCACAAAGGCCCGCAGAGGACCGCGCGAAGGCCCCAGCGACCCCCAAAACAACATAGCTCCCAGCAAATACCGGTGATGCACAAGGATCCAAAAAGAAGTGTGACGCAGACATCTCTAGCACAAAGCTTTTCAGAGAGTGCACCAAATCGGCGAGGTGCCAACCCAAAGAGGGCCAACACCTGGCCCCAAAGAAGCTGTCCAACAACCGCCGAACATCCCCAACAACCGCCGAAAATCTCCTCATCCTCGTCATGCTCCCCTTTCTCCCCCTCCCCCTCTTAGGTGGTTCCAGCGCCGCGGCCGTTTGCGTTCCCCTGGCATGGCCCGACTTTCTCTAGCCCCAAGTCGCCAGGCGTCCTCCTGCTGGACCCTGGCACACTCCTCATGCATGGCGCTTGCGCAGCCCCGCCTCGGGAGGTGGGCGCGACCTCGCCCTCAGCCTGCAGGCGGCGGCGGGCTGCGATTGCCGCGGTCCGACATGCGCAGCGGGCGGCCTGCGCGCTCACCGCAACGCTCGGGACGTTGCCTTGCGCGCGGACGGCGCAGCCGCCCATCGAGCGCATCGCCCACCTGTCGGCGGCGGATGGCGCGCAGTTGGCTGGCCGGGTTATCCTGGACTGCTT